GCAAAATTCATAGTTTTTAGAAGAAGAATTTTTTAAAAGCAACTTGAAACTGACCGGCGACCGAGTTATCCGAAAGATACTTTTTCTTTATGAAGAGACTGCGTAAAAAAAAGTGCCGGTATTGAGATAAAATTTGTCGCTTGACAGATGCAATTATTGTTTATTGACTTCCCTTATTGCTTTACGTACTTCCTTTCGTTTGTCATCTCACGACAATGGAAAACGATACCTAAGCGATAGGTTTTTATTGCGTCTCTCTCTGTGGAAATTCTAAGAAGAAGAAATAACACAGTCTTTCCACAGTTCTTTCGTGTCACGTAACGAATTAAGTATCGCGGGAATCAACGGTGACTCAAAAAGAGTATGTAGAATTGCATACCATATGTTCTTCGTAAGCGTGCGAATTTAATTGCAAACTCTGTTGCCACGCCAGATGTACAAAGTAAAAAACAAAAAATACCATTTACACGAACCCGACTTTTAATTGATATTAATTTTTTTAATACATTAATTGTACAGAATCGTACATGACTTGTCTCAGTATTCAACTTCATGGAAAACCATTAAAGTCAATAAGAGGCCAAGTGCAAATTATTTAACGTGTTTAAATTTATACACTTTCTATTATTCGAATTTTAATTGTTTCGAATTAATGTTTCGCATGCCTCTCGAAAGTTTCACAACACAGATTTTCTTGCGAATTGTTTTACATCTGTTTTCGACGTTGCGTTTTCAGCGCAATCTACAGAATTTCGGACGAAAACTGAGGTATCGGACAGACGTCAATCGATTTCTCTTTTTCTCGAATAGTTTTTGCGCGAAATAAAATAATACCGGAGGTAGACACACTCACATTGGGAGAGGAGGTTCACGGAAGAAGCGCGTTCGTTGACTCACTGAGAGAGAGAAAGAGAGATCGCGTCACGCGGCAACTCTCATTAAAGCGCGACCTCGCGAATAAATTCGCGAGAAACGTACGATCGTCGCCCCGAGGAGGAGAGGCCACAATCAGGCTCGTCGATGCGTATACGATATACGGTACGTTCGTACATCGTCGAGCCCACGCCGTCCATATAAGGACTGCCCACGCCGATATCTATCGTCCGAGATACCGATGAGCAATTACCGGATTGAGAAGCTGACCTTGGTCCGCTGGGAAAACCTGAATGAGAAACGATAGCCGATCGAAACTTAGCGCCTTCGCAACAATACGCACCTAACGAGAGGTTCTCGTCTCGCGTAAACACTTTGAAACAATTTGAAAATCGAACAACGGTATATTTTCAATAAAAAAAAAAAAAAAAAAAAAAACGGAGTTATTATCGAACGTTACGAGGTGTTTGATTTGTAATATTCGACACGCAATTGAATTTCAGAAACCGACGTTACGCACAAATTGAAAATAATACGTAATATCTGTTGTCGGTAGTCGCTAGCGTTTGATTGGAAAATAGTTCCAACTGAATGAGCTTCGTTAGAAAGTTACAACCGTGAATCATAATTCACCTACACTACACAGAGATAGTGTTTCAACTTGAAATTCTGAGATCTCTGCAAGATCACCTAGAAAATTTCTTTCTCACGAGCCAACGGCGACAATGCGAAATTGAGGTCATTCGCTACGTTGCGTAGGAATAGTGGCGAATAGGATCAGCGAGGTTAATCAGATCGGAAAGAAAAAAAAACGATAAGGTCGCCCATTCCGCCGTTAACCCGCGACGTATTCTCTCATCGACGCGATCGCGACTCATTGACGATTAGCATTAACGTTCGCGCGTTCTCTTCTTCTTTTTCCTTCCCTCCCCCACCCCCCTCCGATTGTTCTAACTCGCGTGTTTGAGAAAAGATTTTTTTTTTCTGCATTAAATTCAGAACAAGCTCCGTCGTTATAAAGATATAAATTTAGAACGTTCGTTGACTGATAACATTGTGTGTCACCGTTACACGCTTCTAATGTTGAACGAAGAGAAAATATCCAACATTCTTCATTCTGTTTCGAAAAAACCACTCTCTTTTATTAAAGTGAACCTTATCTCTCACTTTCTTTTGTTAAGAGTTTTTGTTTTAAGTTTTTTATTCTTTGTTTTGTTTTCTTGCATGTACTTTACTTAAGAGACACGGTAATTTTATTTATGCACGTACGTATGTACGATATAAATATACAAGTGAGTGACAACAAAGATGACATCACCACGTTCGATCAAGTCTATGTATTTTTTATATTTATATACACGACGCGACGGTTCATTGTCTCGCTTGTGTGAATCATTCAATTCTATTGTGGATAATAGAATTTTCGATCGACCTTTTTAATTATATTTGCCCATCACAAGTATTTACACACACGGTATACGTGTGTATAAATTACATCGCATCAGTTTGTTGTGTGCAATAGTCGGAACATATTTATATTCCGTTTAATTTGACAAGTTGTTAAATGCAAATTTCTTCTCAAACGTTTTCCGCTCGTTTAAATCACATCCGTACGGAAAATCGCTTCTATTTTCCATCAAGAAAAAGAAGATCGTAAAATCGAAAGAACAATATTCCCGAGGATCGGGAGAACTTTCTGATCCCGAAACCTGAAACCGTGCTGTGGAGAGAAAAGGTTCCGGAATCGCGCCGCGGTGCGCTTATAACCCGGCGAGAAAAGGTCACACAGCGCGGATCCCCCGTCGAAAGTTCAGACGTAAAGGGACCATACGGCGCGAAAGAGATCTTTTACGCGCGCGGGCGGGTGCGAGGGGATGATTTTATTATTACCGTTCGTGATCTCGCTATGCGTGATTGAGCAATGGCAGAGAGTTTTCGACCACGCAACAGCGTCCCACGTGCATCAAACGCGCGTCCGATTCTCCGCTGATGATGATTCTTCGCTAATGACACGTGGGCGGTGTAACAATGATATCAATACACGTTCGACGTCACATATCAAATAAGAAAAGAAAGAAATCATGTGGTAAGCACAGAGATTAAAAAAAAAAAAAAAAAAAAAAAAAAAAAAAAAAATGTGTCCTACGTTTAATCTCAATCAACAGGATGTCGCTGATTGTTCTCACGCGTGTCTATTTCCAGGATTTTACTCTATAATAGAATATATAAAAATATAGTCTCCGTCGCACGATACGTTTTTTTTTTTTTTTATTTCAATTCTATTTCTAACAATGTGCCGTGAATTATCACCGGATGTACGCGGAACTTTATCTTCGCGCGAGTGGTGAGTTTTCTTTTCTTTCTTTTCTCTTTTTTTTTTTTTTTTTAATACGCGAGCCTAGAACAGCGAAACGATTAGGAAACGGAAAATTATCGCGACTTACATACATACCGGTAACGATCGTTACGTATAGCGGAGTTGCGTGAAAAGCAGCACGCGATGATCCCATGGCTGAACACGTATAATTCCGCCACGGCGATCGCACGTGTGTGAGGAAATTCTCTCTCTCTCTCTCTCTCTCCACCTCTTTCCGCGATTATCAATCGCGGATATTAATTACTCACAGAGAAGAAGAAGAGAGCTCGCGGGCGCTCGCGCGTGTGACTTTACTCGTCGTCATCATCGTAATCATCATCGAGCATCGAGAGATACGTACGCATCGACCTTGTCGTCGACTCGATTGCGTTATGTGATAATTACTCTCGCGCGCTCTAAGTATTAATGACTGCGAATCATTAAAATCGCCGCGTCGACGGACAAGAAAAATCGAGTTTGTTTTAATTATGCGAGCGCGCGACTCAATTAGTTCGTTGCGCTTAATTACTTCCCGTTCGATGTCACGTATAGCGACGACAGTTTCGAGTTTCGAATTTTGAATGTTTTATATCGATTTTACCTACGATTACGTGTCGATAACGTTCTGTTGGCGCGTTCCGAACAATTTGTTGTTTATCCACGACGCGTTTATCAACGTACGTGTTTGTCTATAAAGTTCATTTATTTCGCTAAGTGAAATCAAGTGTCATAAATAGAAATCTTCCGGTGTGGTTTGTTTTCCACGACAATTACAACATGTGAGAAACTTGCCTTCTCGCTTCAACCCGAGATACTCATCATCACAGAGAAAACACAATTCTCCGATCTTAGCCGGATTTTATGAAGAAACTGTATTATTTAACTCCCTGCCGGGATCGCGTTGTTGTGTGCGTTGTGTGGGGCAAGAGTATATAATTAAATATATTACACATATAATCGGTATCAGAGAACGCGGGCGCGAACGAGTGGTAAACTCGTTCTCGTTTCAAACATTTATTCCCATTATTAAATCGCAAATAATTACAACAATCATCAAAAGCCTTCTGTGCGTACCGCTTCTATTTAATCAATAAAAAGTGTAATTAGTATGTTTTAACGCTCTATACTTAACAGCCTCTAGTCTTCAATTGCACTTTAACCTCTTTAACACATTGTGTGAATTTGATTCCGACCTCACTGAACAACGCGTATGTATAAACAATCAACGTTGTATATCATTTGTCGCTGTTTCAACCGACGTTTTTGAAAATTTAAACACCGAATCTTATTAGCACTTGGCATGTCATTATATCGACATACCAGTTCAATAAAAAAAACTGTTGCGACAAAACGATCAGAATCAGAAAAAAACGAGCTCTGTTTCTTTGTTTACTTAATAAAAAAAAAAAAAAAGAAACATGACAAATCGTCGACCAAAAGTTAACTCGAGAAAACGAAGCGGTATACGAGTGACTTTGCGTATCTTCCTTTTTCTCAATCGTACACCCGGAAAGTTTGTAAACATTGGAACACGAGTTATTTCGGTATACAGACTGGAGTACGGGGAAATAACGCTCTAAATAAATCAGAATATACAAACGAATATACAAACGTTTTTTTTTTTTTAACGTGTGCGCTCCAGTGTTTAAGATCGTTCCGGGGCACCGCCGATCCCACCGCTGCGGGAACGCGCAACCAGAGACGAGCGAGGTTGCGCAGAGGTTAGGTGAAACGTCACCTGCGAAAATTGGAAAGTTTGCGAGGTACTCACGTTTTCAGGCTGGGACGAACGCCTCTGCCGCGGCACACAGAAGAGCGGCACGCCGCTTTCCCGCTTCTTCTCCAATATAGCGGCTTCCGATTTCCTTCTTCTTTGGAGCAGCAAACCGTAACCTTGCCGTGACACACCGCGTGCGTCTCTTCTCTTCTCTCTCTCTCTCTTCTTCTTTCCCTCCTTTTTTTTCTCGTGTCGCTTCTTCTTTGTTTTCTCACAAATCACCAGAAGAAGCGCGCACCAGCGCGCGTTTCACTAATGAATGATAAGTATGTACTTACGCACTTTGTTTCCACACAATTTTTCAATCGCGGAAGAACGAAGTCGTCCATCCGGTTCGATACTCTCTCTCTCTCTCTCTCTCAATCGATTGTCGTCTCGAGAGATCACGTTTTACTCGCATCAATGACGGTCCAGGTGCAACACGAACGCGCTTGAGCGTGAAACGTTATGTTCTATATTATGGTACTATCACGTTACACGCGCGCGCGTCGACGATTTACACACGCGAGATTGTCCGCGCCCGGGACAATTCACACCGGCTCCGAATCCCCGAATCCGATTTCTTGATCACTCACGATCCACGCGATATCACAGGATATATATATTATTATTGCTCTCTCTCTCTCGCTTGTATTTCGTCGCAAGTCGTATCGTTGCACCTTGCGGAAGCGAACAATCGAACAGTAACGCACTGAAGTCAGTCGCGCACGTCGCCGCCGATATAAATATATCGAATATCTGTTACCGACGCGATTTATTTATCCGTGATAACCACACGGAGCGTATGATTATTCTTCGCTTCGAATTCTTTCGTCCGGACGTGATCGCGCACGCGAAATCGAAACGCGTCGATCGCGCGTAGACACAACTTCGCGATAATACAACAAAAACACACTTTCATGCGAACATCGACACTCGGAAACGCTGACAGTTTGCGGCTCCGCGGTGCTCCGCGGAAAGACTGAACTTGCTTCTGGAGAACCGGTCGCTGTCGATCTCCCCCCTCCCCTCTCTTCGACCGTTTCACTACTCGACTCCCTCCACGCGGGGCAAACTTCAGGCTATAACGCGTGTATACGTGTGTGTGTATGTCCACGGTAGTTCTCTCTTCTTTATCCCGCGCTACTCCGATTTTCTTCGAAGGGTATCGGAGGCCCGCACGAAAATTAGACGACCGTTTTCTGTCAACGGCCGAGTCTCTGTCACACTTTCGTCATATTCGGAAGAGAAGTTCCGCGCCGTGAAGTAAAAATTATATGACAAAAAGAGTCACAAAGGAACAACGCAGATATAACATGTAGCGAAGAACACATTTGTTTTTCAACGCATTGTTTTTCAACTCACGGTTCTCGATTCTCGCCAACAACGACGCAAGGTCGTTTTTACAATCGTGATTCTTGTATCATAATTCATGAATTCAATCAATTCACAGTAAAATCGATATATATATTTATCTTCGCAAAGTCTCGCACAAAACATACGCGTGTATGGCTTCGACGTCGAGCGTGTGTGTATAAATGATATATTCTTTCAGATCGTTGTATATGCGTTTTCGAGGGATCGCGTTCTATTTTCGATCACGGGCTTCGGATGCGGGCGAGCGTTATTCTTCCCGGGAACCGGCGTTCCATCCGGGGTCCGCATCTTCGCGCGTGTAAAACAATTTACACGTTTTTTTTACACATATACGCGAACCATCTTTTTTTCACGCGCAATCTGTGCGCGCGAGCGTCATTCGTATCCGCAACGTGTGCGCAACATCAAAGCAATCTCACAGCACATACGCAATTATGTCCATATGTCGTTACGGTACTTCGTGCGCCGTGTTTGCTTCTTTACGATCATTTTACAAAATAGATTGAAGAAAATAAGATAAGAGACGTGTGCAAATTAACGCAAATTAAATGGCTCGATCGATTCGACGCGAACTTTCGCAATAAACGGCAAAAATATTTACACGTTATTAAAAAAAAAAAAAAGTTTCAACAATACAAAGGTTCAAAATCCATTAGCTTCGCCTTGGATTAAGGTAAAAAGAAACAACCCTCCGGGAGGTCCGAATATAATGCGGGGCTGTCAGAAGCTATGCGTGTGGCGCAAAACAGATCTGGTTAAGATCAGATACGGATCTCCCGCATTGCTGCTGTACCCTGCCCCTGTCCTACATGTCACGCAGCTACCCACGCTAATTAGTCCATTATCATCACTACCGGCAGCAACTCATCGTTCGCGTTTTACCGTTTACTCGCCGTCTCCCCGCTCCGCACGCGGGGCGGTAGATGTAACTTTAATGACGGTGTACCAAAGGCGTGACCGCGTACTTTGTTTTTGGATTGAACGCGAACGACGCGCAGTTAAATCGTGAACACACACGTAACAGAACCGCGTATCCCGCGATATAATCTAATTATACATAACCGACAAGACACGCGTTATGTAACGAACAAAAAATATTCAGAAAAAAATAAAAGATATCTAGTGTGAAAAGTTGTGTACGTGTAAAAATCATTTTGTATGTGTAACTTTGCTCGTGTATAAAGAAACTTTGTTTTCACTCCGCGTGCATTAGTAATTTTAAATGTTACAGAAACGTGTGTGCCGGAGGTGTGTTTGCGGATGAGAAAGTGCGCGCATATATATGTCAAACGCTCCGCTTTGTTGACACCTCTTTCGTGTCAGGTTCGCGATGTAGCGTATGTACGTTCGACATCGCGGTGACAAATTCGCTTTTGACCTTCGTATCTTTGCCGAGGCGTCGGCTCTTGTCTCGTGGGACAATGAAGAGAGGGTTCCCCTCGCGCGACACGATCCGGCGCACCCATCACCACCACGTGGCACGGACGCGTGCCGGGCGCGTTTAATTTCGCTAAAACCCGACGCGAATAATAAACTAGCGGTCTAGACGGTCCACAACGTTGTCGTGTTCGGGGGAGGGGGAGAGTATTACTATTTGTTGCCCCGCGAGCACGTGGGCGTCCACCGTGTAGGAGTGCCGGCCGGACATGACGGGGACATCGGACGAACGGATGGACGAGCACGTTACACACGTGTGTACATGCACACACAATACGTGCGCGTGTGGGCCGTAGTTTCCTCTCTGTGGCTAAAACTCAGGAATTCAGGAATCGTTGGGGCGATAAAAAAAACCACCGGACACTGCCGGTAGAAAACAAAGTAAGAGGAGGAAGGAGACATTTTAGACGTAGGATGTGGTCCGATGTTCTCGTCTGGCAAATGTGCTATGTCAACATGCGGTAAAGCGCATCCTAGAAACGAGCAAAGTTCATTCTCTTTAACATTTATTTTTCTCTTCTCTTTATAGAAAGTAATTCGATCCGAACGAATTGCGAAGGTTTCATCTTGTAGGATGCGGACTGTGTTAATTCGGCAGATTCCCTCATGTGAAAAGCGATTATACGGGATATAAACGTCTCTCGAGAAGATTAAACGGAGCAATAACATTCCGTTAATTAGTTGATCCCATCGAGTGACACTCCAAGGGTTTCCTTGTAAAGCACTTAGCATAGCTGTGTCGAGAGAAACTCGATTACTCACGTAATTGACTACGTCAAAAAAAAAAAAAAGAAAAAAAAAAGATCGTTGCTGGGTGCGACTTACGGAATGTTGTCAAGAATACATTTGCCGTTCCTAGCAAGAACTACTGAATAATGTATGCGAAATGTTTGTATAATTGTTTGTTTAATTTTGTATAAATTTTAATCAGTACGGTATGCTGAATTCTTCTTCCACATTATCATCCTCATATGTCTCGGGCTCGAATACCGGACCATCATCCTTGTCTTCATCTGTCTCAGATATGTCGAATATCGGTATCGGTTTCATCCTCCGAACTGCTCTCTCTATTTTGTGCACCACAGCAATGTCCCACTTGGTGCTTATAAAATTGGTCACTCTGCAGTCCTTAGTCTTACCGACTCTTCCGGTTCTACCACATCTGAAGTAATAACGCGCAACGTTACAAATTATATCTTGCACAAAGATTCTATATCGGAGATTAATATCTGTACTATAATTTGTACGTTCCAGATTTGCAAGATAGAATATTACAAAAAATAGCAGCAATATACCTGTGAATATAATCGGCAGTTGCGGTTGGGAATTCGTAATTCAGCACGTGGCGTACCTTTATTGTATCCAATCCCCGAGAACCCGCATTTGTTGTGCACAATACTTGGCATCTACCACTCTTGAAAACGGCGTACGTGTTACTTCTCACGTTAAATGGCAAACTGCCATGTAAGCAAGCCGTTTGTATGTTACTTGCCTCCAGAAATTGACTGACCCAATTGCAAGTGGTGCTCTTGTTAGTAAAGATGATCACTTGCTCTTTTTGAGCGACTTTCGGCTTAATGTACTTTAGAAGTTCCGCTGGTTTGTCGTCCGGTCCTACTCTCATAAATTTCTGTGGCACGATAATATGATGTAGTTTATCCGAAGTCACATTAACTAACGAGTCCACCTGCGAAAGAATAAACAAATAAAACACACGATCTTAAATCTTTATTTTATATAATTCTTAAGAAGATATATTACATTTATGATATTGTGTAAAACTTCCGACATCCTAGAAGGCATGGTTGCAGATGCTAGTGCAAACTGAGCAGCTATTGGTAGTTCAGTGTCGTCCATATCTTGCCTAAATCCGAGCTAGAATAAATTGTGTAGCGTTGTTTATACATTATAAGTTTCACAAACAACTACTAATATATATACACGCATAATGTATGTATGTACATACCGGCACTCTTTTCAAAAACACTTGTAATTTATCTTCAAATGTTTCGTGAAACAAAGCATCTGCTTCATCCAGTACAATAGATCTGACCATGTCTAATTTATAAATTCTGGTTGTGGTTAACTTGCTGATGACTCCAAAACTAGCTATGATAATGTCAACTTCACTCACAGGTGGATTTAACATCATTTTCTTGGTTTTTCCTCCAGTTATAGTCTTAGTGTTAATATCAAGATACTGACATAATTTTTGTGCTTCCAGCTATAAAAAGAAATACAGTTTAAAAACATTGTTTGTAATATCAATTTCATATAAAATTTATTACAATACAAACCCCAATTTGAAATGCTAATTCTCGAGTAGGTGTCACTATCAATCCTAGCGGAGAATTATATCGTGTGTCTGTTAATTTTTTCCACCTGTAAATCTTGTCAATCATAGGTAAAAGATAAGTAAATGTTTTTCCACATCCAGTTTCAGCAGCAATAACGGTATTAGCACCACTCATTATTATAGGCAATCCACGTGTTTGTATGTCCATAGGTTTTGTTATATCATATCTTTCTAAGATTTTGACCAGTTCTGGATTCAAACCAAAATGTGCAAAACTATCATACTCTTTGTCAGACTCACAATTGCTTTCTTCTTCCACCTAAAATTTTTATAAAACATGCTTCAAAGAAACAATTTTGAATACAAATAAGAAACACAAACATAGCAAAACATTAGTAAATATTTATTACGTACATTTGTAAGAGGATGTATAAAGAAATAATCTCCTTTTGATTTATAATGATGCCATCCTTTGGTAGCCAGTGGTATTGGTACATATTTGGAATACGTTTGCCCTTTATAAAAATTAAATTCTTTTCTTTTGCAACTAATTATTGGTGTCTGTTCTTTTATGGCTTTTGGTACCTCAGGATGTTTAACATGTTTGTATTTAGATTTAGAACCTTTTCTCTGTAAGTGTAACAATAATTCAAAATAAATAAAATTAAGAAACAGAAAACGTGATACTTACATAAAATCTCTGTACAATTATGGACTGAACTTTTGTAGTTTTGCGACACAAGTCACAAAATTGAAAAAACATTATCGGTTATTACATGTAACATGTATTTACATAGATAAAACAACTCTAAAACATTGCTCTAAAATATAAACAGTTTAGGTTTAGGATTTTAGGTTATGCAGTCGAAAACTCTTGAAAGCTCTTATCCAGAGAAAAGACTGAGAGCGGCCGTGGCCATATGATAAACTGTAATAATGGCTTTTTCGCCCTGTAAGCCAGCGCTATGTTCGTGGGTGGTGCACATTGGCAACTACGTAACCATGTCCACGATCGACTTGTCTTTCTACCACGAATCCTAACCTTGTACGTTCCAGAAGTTTTGGTTTCCTATCTAATGCAAGTACTTTGTCACAGCTCGGTCGCGATTCGACATCGTTCGATTCTCGAGATATCGAAATACGAAATTAGGAAATAGCGGGAAATCGCGGCAAACACACGAGACGCGGAGCAGAATAAAATTTAATCTCTATTCGAGAACAAATGTAACTAAAAATATATTAAAAAAAATATGTAGACTTTTATAAACTGCGTGACAATTTGTACGACGTATAAGCGTAATTTTATCGCGATTCCGAGTTTTTGTCTTTCATTGTTACGATCAATCAAAGAAAAAATAGATAAATTGTTAACGAGAAATATTGTTCTCGATTTAGAAAAAGAAATAAACAATAAATAAATTAGACAACAATATATATATATATATATATATATTAGATACTACGTTCGCGAAAATTAATATTCTCGATTATGTCAAACAAGAAAGAGAACTAAGAAATTTAATAAATGATAAATTTTAATATGAAAGAATGTGAAAAATAAACAATTGATAAATTAGATAACAATATATTAGATACTACGTTCGCGAAAATTAATACTCTCGACTATGTAAAACAAGAAAGAGAACTAAGAAATTTAATAAATGATCAATTTTAATACGAAAGAGAATGTGTGTGTGTGTGTGTGTGTGAAAAATAAGCGTGTTATGTTCAATGCCTGAGATGTTTTTCAACCGGCGAGTTTTTTTCTTGTTTTGACGCTCGAGAGACCGCTCAACCTCAACCTCTACTATGCGACTGTGGGCCCGCGACGCGAAGGAAAATCCAAAAGCGCAGAAGCGCATAGTGGGGAACGCGTGCGCGTGATGGGAACTTCTACTGCGCTACTCACAGCGCAGCGCGTAGCCTCAGATCTCGTCGATCTTTCGAAAGTAACAGACGTGTTGTGCGCGATTCGAAATTTTTCTTTTTTTTGTTATAACAAATTCGTACGCAATTTTATGCAAAAGTAAAGTGAATTTCTTCGTCAATTATTCTAATCTCGTTATTGTAAATCTACCGCGTATATCACGATTAAATATTTCGCGAATATAAATTATTAGTCTTCCGCTTCGTCATTTATTTATTTTTTAAAATAATTATTTTAATACATAAAGCGATATATCGGTTCACCTCTAACAATAATCATTTTTTTGTTACATATTGTGTATAACATATATTAGAATATATACTTTTTATTTCAATTTTATCGGCAGAATTTTACAATACGGTTTTAATATTTTGCAAATTAGAGTTTCGTTAATATTCTCTATTAAGAGAACCGCGGTGAATCTATAACCTTTTATTCATTTCCGAATTCTTCTCTTTGACAGTTTGGGTGCAAGAGGTACCATTGTCATCTTAACTGTCATTGAGAAGAGTTCGGAGGTGAATAAACGTTATAGATTTTTTTAATATTCAGTATTTCTTGTTGACTCGATTTTAAAGAGTTTAATTGTTGTAAAATTCTCTGTAAAATTCAAATAAAAACTATATTTCCACATATCATGCTATAACATACATATAACAAAAAAATGTGAGTTACGTGTAATCGTAATACATTGCTTTATATACTTAAAATACTTTATTTTACAAAAAAACAAATCTCGAAACAGCAAGGTGATAGTTTGATATACGTGAAATTTTTCATCGCGAAGTATCGTCTAATATTGTCAAAAGTAACTTTTATAATATACAAAATACGAAAGAAATTCACTTAAGTGCGCGTGTGAAAGTGATCAAGTGTCAAAGAAGACAATTCAGACAATTATTCCTGTGGACGCTTTTGGTGACGCTGATGGTATTCCTGACGGCGGTGTTTGCGGTACCGGAGGAGCCGGTTCGGGCAATAAAATGCTGGCACGAAGGTATATTTCTGTTTTTAATATTGTATATCTAACATATAAAAGTATTAAAGTACAATAAATAATTTTCTTCGAAGTTCTTAATCTAATAATTGACTTCTATTTTGTTACAGAGTGGTGTCGTCGTAGTAAGTGGCCAGCGCACGTGAGTTGACTTTTAGGGTAGGTGATGGGTATTTTAAAAATCAGTGCGATATATAGTTTTTACTTATTTATCTCAAAGCGTCGAGAAAAAATAATTATTTCAAAGATAAAAATATAGTTTTCGGGCTGTAATTATAAATTTAAATCAAATTTACTTATAAAAATTAAAGTATAATATTCAGAATAATAAAGATATTTTTCAGATATTTCATATCATCATCAAAGAGATATATTGACTACTCTTTCAAATCAATTCAAATTGATTATTTTCTGTAATTATTTAATATCGTAATGTAATTATTTTATACCGATTTTTTCTCGACGACTTTTCATTTTCAACAAATTGCGAACGTTTAGTTCGCCTTGCGTCAAAATCGACGCCCTGGACCTCGCAAGTGCGAGGAAATAACGCGATCGCGGTCGTGTACGCGGTTTTAGATTTCGCGAATTGTTTTATTTAAAACTTTTGCCATTTTTTCACTTTTTTTTGTTTATTGATATCGATTAAAGAGTAGAGTTTTCGCGAGAATTTTACAATAAAGTTAGATATTTTGTTTAGAAACTATCGAAAAGTATATAACATATTTAAAGAATAACATATTTATTTAATTTAAACGACTTAGCGTTACTATTACCGCGATTTTTAGTTTTAATTATACGAGTATACGTGATTAAGTATCATTTATAAAATCCATCTCGTGAAAGACAATAAAATACACGTACGAAAATTTTTACGTAGAAATTTTGATTGTTCGCGTTTTACTCAACTTTAATTTAGATTTCGAATATGTAGATATATCGAATTTTTCAATATGTTTTTAACTTTGTTTTTTCGATTCGTTCCGTTTTTGATAAACAATTTTCGCAAAGAAATTGCGAAGTGATGCTTCGTTAAAATAACGGAGCAAGATACTTCGCTGTGTTTAAGCGGAGTAATTCTCGCAAAAGTTGCAAGACTGTTTTTGCGTAAAAAGTACGCAAATATTACTATTATAATTAAAACCGCAAATTCCGTTCCGTACTAACAAAATAATCAATATTATAACTTAATTGATTTTTTATTATAACTTCGATTTTAAATTATAACTTCGATTTTAAATTATAACTTCGATTTTAAATTATAACTTTGATTTGAGATTTATCTAAAATCCGTGCGAGATATTTTAGAATATTTTAAAACTCATATAACTTTCGTTCGTTTTAATTACTTCTTTTGACTATTTATTATTTATTTTTCATTCTGCATTTTTTTACACACA